AAAGCAATTGGGATCTGAAAAGCATCTTTTGGAACAATGCTGTATCATCTAACACAGGGGTGCCCAACCCTGCTCCTGGCGATCGACTGCCCTGCAAAGTTTAGCTCCAACTCTTATCAAAGACACCTGCATTTGATTTTTAAGTGATCTTGAAGACCCTAATTAGTTGCTTCAGGTGTGTTTGATTAGGGTTGGAGCTGAACTTTGCAGGACAGTCAATCGCCAGGAGCAGGGTTGGGCACCCCTGATCTAGCAGTTGTTCATCTAATTATCAATTCTGTCCTGGTAATACCCTTAACAAAATATAAAATTTAAAATATAAATTAAAAAATTGTTTAGCTGTTAGAAAAGGGTGGTGAGATGGGGCAAGCTTGTCTGACATCACGCTTTAAAGGGGTCATATGATGCTGCTAAAAATAACATTTTGTGTATTTGGCGTAATGAAATGTGTTTATGCGGTCTAAAGTAAAAAAAAAAACATTATTTTCCACATACTGTACATTATTGTTTCTCCTCTATGCCCCGCCTTTTTGAAACGCGTCGATTTTTACAAAGCTCATCGGTCTGAAAAAGCGAGGTGTGCTGTGATTGGCCAGCTATCCAGTGTGTTGTGATTGGCCGAATAACTCAAGCGTGAGACGGAAATGTTACGCCCCTCACATACTGTTGATGGCGGGTCCCGGCCGGAGGGACAAGACAAAAACATTAAAACCCATTACAAACGAGTCATTTGTTGCATCCAGTGGGGACATAATTACTGATTATAATGACTTATACCGTCTTTTTACGCGTTGCGTTGCATTGCATCGCGCCGCGTAAACATAAAACTCTGTCTGCATTTGTGATCAGAGAAATGACAAACAACAAGTGCTACTCTACTGGCCGAAACTCGCGTTTGAATCATCAGTGGCAAATTCTTTAAATATAAACGTACTTACAGACTGTGAGTCAGAACAGCCGGCATTTTAGCCTAAGGTTACTCTCCCAGGATCAGTAAACAGTCCTCCATAAAATGCGCTGCACACATCTGGATATCTGGATTAAACTGTTCTGAAACAGTGTTGTAAATACAACTTGACCACTGATTTGTAGTCGTGTCCTCTTTTGTTTCGCTTTCACAATGAAAAACACAGCGGCCTGCGTGAGGGGACGCCCCGGCTTTGCGTGCGCTGAGGCCGGGATAGAGTGAGCTGAGGCGGCGGGGTTGAGAACTGCGCGCCCGGCGGAGCCGACGAATGAGTGGCAACCACATGTGATGACCCCGGGCTGGACTCCGCTTCGTCCACGGTGAAAGTTGATGTATTCCCTCAGCGACCAGCACAGATCAGCTCTAGGCATGATGAAGCGGATATCCCCCTCTTTTGGAAGACCAAACAAAGTAGTTTCGCTTTCACAATGAAGCAGACAGCGTCTTCACAACATGGCTGCAGCGTCAACAAAACTACAGTGAGAATAAAAGTTACGCCTTCTTTGTTTGTGTGAACATTTGGGCCGTGTTATGCAAATCTTCCCACATAGTGAGGTAGATATGTGGGGGCGTGTTAGAACGAGCCGTTTTAGGTAGGTGTGGCTGACTCTGAACTTTTATAAAGAATATCTCTTTGGATTTGAGACTTTAGTCTTTGCAACTTTACAGATCTTCTTTATGCACCAAGAGCTTGTAACACTCCAAAGAGAAAGGAAAAATTGAAATCGCATCATATGACCCCTTTAAAGCAAATATAGGAGAAATGCCATTACTGAGCTGGACAGAGCTATTCCCATTTACAATAAAGCATTTGAACACATCTGCAAAAGAAATCAACAAAACCCTGTCAAGGGCCTGTAAAATAAATTAATGTTCTAAGCATTAAAAAAATCCAGCATCTTTGCTAAGACTAAGGCAATGGTTTTAGAGTCAGTGTTCAATGACTAAATTGGGTGCTAGTTATCTATTAAAAGGGGATATATATTGAGTGTTATTAGTCATTTACAAAGAAGGAGAAACACTCTCTTTTCCCAACACTTTATAAACAGTTTATGCAAGAAAGTTCCCAATCTTTCGTTTAAAGCTTTGTAGAGCTCAGCAGGAATTTGTTACTTTTTAGATTATTTATAGAATAAATGATTTCCGAAAGACTAATAGGTGCACCGCATAGGCTACAATTTCTTTACTAATTTGTTTTATGTACAATAAAGAATATTAAAAAAATTGTACCGGATTGCTATTAGAATTTAGAGGAAAACAGATCATTATATAAAACTTAGCACAAAAATTAGCAAAATGACAGTTACATTCCCATCAATATAGCTGTTGAATAGAGTTTCTAACTTGCTGTCTCTCCAGCCTGAAGAAATAGGCAGAGTCCTGTTCGCCCTCCTCTAGCCATTTCCTACGAGATCTAAAGCATATTCAGCCTTTCATTTATATATATCCTCTAAATGATATTACTGATCAATAAGCTTAATTCTGTCTGTTAATTCTTAATTCTGAGTCTGAAAGATCCTCCATATTTTTGTGTGACAACATAGTGATTCTAGCCATAATCTTTCTTCATAATTTTTTCTTATTTTCACTAAGTTACTACAAAATTTTCAACAATGCTTCCCAATTTCATATTTAAGAAGTTCCCAATTATTACTATCCTTCTGTAACAGGGCGAACGAGACGAGAGACGTGCGGATCCATTTTCAAGGCTTTATTTAAAGACATGGTCAACACAGGCAAGAGTCGGACAATGGCAGACAGGTATATAGAGGGCAAGACTTAAAATGTAATCCGAAACACAGGCGATGGTCCAGGCGAGGGGTAAACAGTATCCGAACAGGGCGAGACGAGAGGGGTAATCCAAGACAGGCGATATACTTCAGGGCAGGCAGAGATCCGACAAAACAAGATACACAGGCTAGGATCAAGACACGAATGACTAAGGCAATAAACAGGATTAAACTACTACAAACTAATGTAGCTATCACTTGGAGAGCAATAAACGCTAGACAATACTTTGATTTGATACTTGGATTTGAGTGGTTGTTGTATAGTGTGTGTGTGATTGGCTGCAGGTGAATCCAATCAGTGCAATGGAGCATGGGAAATGTAGTCCAGGGTGACGTGCAACAGTTTGTGTGGTGTGAGAGTCAATGTAATCAGAAGCCCCCCCCCAAGAAGCGGCTTCCAGATGACCAGAAGACCACCACGGCAGAGCATACGGAGCAGAAGACCACCAGAGCCAGACGGAAGACCATGACGGTGGAGCAGACGGCCACGGCAGAGCAGAAGGCCACCATGGCTGAGCAGACAGAGCAGAGACCCCTGGTAGAAAGAGGGATCCAATAAAAACTGAGACACAAGAAACAGACAGAGCATATATGCTCTCAAGGACCGAGGCAGGGAGCACAACAAGTTCATCAATATTTTCCCTGGTGACAACTGAACGGGCAGACAGTTCAAAAACTGTCTCGCAGACTGAAACTGAACAGTCAGATAGTTCATAATTAGACTCACTAACTAGGACTGGCAAAACAGACAGTTCAGACTCATTTGGGGAAACAGAACAAGCAGACAGTTCCTGAATGGTCTCTAAGGCAGTGACAGGGTTAACGGGACAGACATGGAGTGCATTTATTTTTTCTGGGCTCATAACTGGACTAATGGGGCAGATAACAGGTTCCTTGTTTGGAACTGGACAGACAGATCATTGGCTAAAACAGGACAGACAGAAAGTTCAGAATCTGGTTCGTTAATTGAAACAAAATGGACTGACAGTTCAAAACTAGATCTATTGGCTGAGATAGGATGAACAGAATGTTCAAAACCAAGAGCATTGGCTGGAACTGAACTGACAAACAACTTATGGACTGATACTGGGCAGGCAGATAATACAGATAATAGTGACACCTCTTTATTTGTTTTATCACAGTAAAAAGAGATTAAGTTGTCAATTTCAGCATCTATCTAAGGTATTATTCAAAACTACATTAAAAATGAAGAATTTGGAAATTTAGACAGCATATAAAGTATATGTGTTTCAGGTTGATCAATAAATGATCTTTTTGTGAATTAAACCCATAAACATTGGCAATAATACATGTTGAATTTACAAACTATGATGTAATGAACATGAATATACATTTTGTTAAAGCATTTAAGATACAACAAATCAGCTTTGTGTTTAAGAATGTTTTGTAACCCCCTACAGTTTAAGGTTTAACCCTCTAGTTTAACAGACAGAGAGACATAAATATAAAAAGAAATTGTTTATAAGAGTCTATAACATTAGTAACATATAATCTATAACATATAATATTTAATATTACCAGCAAAGTCCAAGTCCAAGTATTTTTGGGTTCCAAAGATGAGTCTACTATGTAGCCTTATACAAAATTATTTTAATTATGTGAAATGAAAATGAAAATTAGATTAGATTATGAAAATGAAATTGGATTAGATTTAAATGAAAATTAGTATTTTCCATCAGGGTGTCTTTCAGTATTTTTCCTCCAAACAATGTCCTGTCCTACCTGCAGTTCCTTGATAATATACTATGAATGTATGAATAAATATTCATACAATAATCTGGTGTTAATGATTGGGTCAAGCAGTTTTAAAAAGTAGGGTGAATGTTTTGATGTTGTAATAAAACGGTTCTCAAATGACCCCTTGAGTTTGAGTTGCTCTCTGGACCCAATAGCAAATTATTGTGGTGTTTAACCCTAAAAGTATTTCCCTAACAATTCTGCTGTTTTCTACAACTATATTTTGATGAAAAATAGCAGTTGGATATTTGAAGATGCTGATAATTTTGATGTTTAAGGTTTTGTAACATAAAATGCTGGTATTTTAGATCCTCCCAAGAATGAACTTGACTTTTAACCTCCACACCCTTGTTGAAAGCATTAGCATGTTTCAAGAGGGGACTTGAACTATCACTGTTTTTTATAAACACACTGAATGTGTTCATACCCTCATACTCAACATTAACTGAATTGAAATCCAGCATTTTGATTGGATAACAGTCAGATTTCCAATTCTAAATGCGTAATGCTCTTTCCCAAAAGATTAGCTATTACAAGGTTTCCCCAAACTATGAGATCCTGATGTTTGATACGGACGTTACACGGATAATCTCTTTGAGGGACTTCAAAAGTAATGAATTTTCAAGAAACCTAACAAAGGTTTTTGAAGATCTGGACAATTTTAATTATGATGGTAAGCATTCTGTTTGTGTGGCTCTGAGTCTTATTATTGATCCAATCAAATTTAGAGATTATTATAAAATATAATATGCAAAAATTACATACATAAATACATTTAAGGGTACAGCAGATTGTCACAGACGCAGTACTCTCATAGGCATCCTTTTTGTGCTGATATACTCCCTTTAGGTACGATTAGACACACTAAGAAATAAGCTACAAAAGTGTTCCTTTTGGTAGTTCTTCCCAAGTGACAAGTTGTTGTACCCCATATAGAGTATCTATACATATATAATTGTATTTGTCTAATTTTTTGTATAATTTTATTTTGTTAGACTAACTCAGGGGTAGGCAAGTTCAGTCCTAGAGAGCCACGCTGTCCTGCAGAGTTTAGCTCCAACCCTGAAAAAAAACGAAGCCTGCCTATAGCCTTAGTAATCCTGAAGACATTGATTAGCTTGTTCGGGTATGTTTGATTATGGTTGGAGCTAAACTCTGCAGGACAGCGGCTCTCTAGGACTGAACTTGCCTACCCCTGGACTTACTTGAGGGAAGTACATTGCTTTCATTGTAAGTACATTAAGTACATTAACATTTTTCATGGCAGTCCAATAGAGAAAAAATGAAACAAATTGTATATTTTTCTTATTATTATTCTTTTAATTTCTTAATGTTCTAAATTCTATTCCTTTTCATTTGGAATCTGCTGATTAATTATTTTTTTTGTGTGTGTGTTTTTGTAAATAACAGATCAAACAGATACTAATATCGCCAAACTCTACTGGAACATTTTACTCAGCATGCAAATAGATGAGCTCTACAATCCAACAGCCTTCCTTGAGACCCAACATATCGTCATCGTATTCACTGATGGTATTGACTCCTATGTATGTGTGTGTGTGTGTACCTGGTATTCCCTATAGTCATGGCCAAAAGTTTTGACAGCGACATAAATTTTGTGTTTTGCAAAGTTTGCTGCTTAAGCTGTTGTGGTGTTCGTTCACATTGTTTCTAGATTATTGTGTAGAGTGATCAGATGCATTTTAAATAATTGCTAAAAGCTTAACTGGCCAAAAAATGAACTTATAAAAGGAGGGAAGAAGTGCTTCCAGTCATTGTGTTCTTGTTAGCAATGGTTACCTCCAAAGAAACACGTGCAGCCATCATCTCTTTGTATCAAAATGGCCTCACATACAAGGAAATTGCTACAAAGAATATTGTACCTGAAAGAACCATTTACCGGATCATCAAGAACTTCAAGGAGAGAGGTTCGTCTGCAGTGAAGAAGTCTTCAGGATGTCCCAGAGTGTCCAGCAAGTGCCAGGACGTCTCCTCCTGAGGAGTCAGCTATGGAATCGTGTCACCACCAGTGCAGAGCTTGCTCAGGAATGGCAGCAGGTTGGTGTGAGAGCATCTGCACGCACAGTGAGGCCAAGACTTATGGACAATGGCCTGGTGTCAAGAAGAGCAGCAAAGAAACCACTTCTCCAAGAAAAACGTCAAGGACAGACTGAAATTCTGCAGGAAATACAAGGATTGGACAGCAGAAGACTGGTGCAAACTTATTTTCTCTGATGAAGCTCCCTTCCGACTGTTTGGGACATCTGGAAAATCGATTGTTCGGAGAAGAAAAGGTGAACACTACCATGAGTCCTGTGTCGTGCCAACAGTGAAGCATCCTGAAACCATCCATGTGTGGGGTTGCTTTTCGACCAAGGGAGTGGGCTCTCTCATAATTCTCCCCAAAAACACTGCCATGAATAAAGAATGGTTTCAAACCATCCTGCAAGAGCAACTTCTTCCAACGATCCATGAGCAATTTGGTGATGATCCGTGCATTTTCCAGCATGATGGAGCACCATGTCACAAAGCAAGAGTGATAAAGAAGTGGCTCGAAGATCATTACATTGAAACTTTGGATCCGTGGCCAGGCAACTCCCCGGATCTCAATCCAATAGAGAACCTGTGGTCAGTCCTCAAAAGGCGAGTGGACAAGCAGAAGCCCACAAACTGTGATCAACTCAAGGCAAGAATGGTTCGCCATCAGTCAGGATTTGACCCAGAAGCTAATATCCAGCATGCCAGAGCAAGTTGCAGAGATTATGAAGAACAAGGGTCAACACTGTAAATATTGACTCATTCTATTTTTTGCCAATAAAAGCCTTTAAAACTTATGATATGCTTATCACTGTTTTTCAGTATACCATAGAAACATTTGGAAAAATAATCTACAAATACTGAAGCAGCAAACTTTGCAAAACACAAAATTTGTCACTGCCAAAACTTTTGGCCATGACTGTACATTATGAGGAAACAAGCTTATAAATCATACAGAATTAAGTTTTTTAAAAATCGAAAAATGCAGAAAATTTTGTGTGAAGGGTAGGTTTAGGGATAGGGTTAGAGTAAGGAGATACAGTTTGTACAGTATGTAGTATGAAAGTATGAAGTATGAAAGGTCTCCATAAAACATGGAAACCAGCGTGTGTGTGTGTGTGTGTGTGTGTGTGTGTGTGTGTGTGTGTGTGTGTGTGTGTGTGTCTGTACTTAGGTATTTTGCCATTAAGTAGTTTAAGTTCTTTGTCAGAATTAATAAATGAATACATGAAATGCCCAATGTATTACAAGTATTATAGTATTATAAATAAGAACAGAGCAAATAGCCTTTTTGAATAGACTTTTGAAGCAAATAATTTCTGTATATTGATCTCTTTTTACTTGATAGGCAAGACAAACATGGGGGGAATCCCGCACCTAAAGTGGACCAAATTAAACAGCTTGTCACCAAACATGATCCAAAGTGAGAGGAGAAACTCGGTGAACAATAAATTGTATTAATCATAATTGTATTTGAAATCAAATTGTTTGGACTTTGTTACTTTCATTCACAAGCAGCATTATCATCACTGTACATATTGATTTTGCCTTTATTATAAGTCTTTATAATTGATTTTATATTGATATGAATGTGTCCTCGACTCTCTTTTCAGCACTTTATGTATTTGGAGTTGGAGTTGACATAAAAATAGAAAATATAAATCGCTTAGCATCACACAGGGACAAAGAAAAACATGTATTTAAGCTTCCAGACTTGGACGAGGTGCAGAAGATATTTGACAGAATGATTGGTACTGTATCTATAATTCACTCATATGTGAAATTTGAATATCTATTCAGCATATTACAGTATGCCAAAACGTGAAATATTATTATTTAAATAATTGTTTTCTGTTCTAATATATTTTAGAATATTTTAGTCTTCAGTGTCACATGATCCTTCAGAAATCATTCACATATACTGATTTGGCGCTCAAGAAGTATTTCTGATTATTATCAATGTTGAAAACAGCTGTGATGCTTAATATGTTTTTGGAAATTCTACAGGATTTGTACACTCATTATGAAATGAAAATCAATTGTATCAGTTGCCTGATGAAAATTAAAAGCAGTTTTATTTGACATGGTGCATGCATGGTGCGAATAAATCAATCATGACTGATTCCTAAAAGTGCATTTCAACGAAAAACATAAGTCCAGCATGACTGCCAGACTGGCTAAAGCAGTTTTTTGCACATTTATTCATAAACCCTAGAGAAACTAGAGTCTAGAGAAACATAAATTTAGTCAAGTTGACTGGTGAGTGCATGATAAGACATGATGAGCTGCTCTGTTTGCCCAAACCAGATAATGAAAGAAAAATCACTTCAAAACTCAGGTTTGCAGTGAATGTATTTCAGTACAAATTAGGACATAATAAGAGCCTAAAAGTGTTAGTAAGCTAAGAAAATATCTTCGCTCTGCTTTAGACGCCGTTGCATCAGTGTTGCAGAAGGCCGAGGTGTGCATTATTAACAACACTGTGTGAAATAAGCTGATGGATGATGGGATAACACCACGCATGATCTGTGCAGGTGTATTGAGCGGAGGCGTAGACGCTTGTCAGGTGAAATGAAAGATCTTCTGTTTTTTTCACATTCAGATACATGTCATAGCCTTACATTTGTCAGTAATGCACATATATTCCTCATTCCTCTGCCAGGGTGACTCAGGTGGTCCAATGATTTCCACTGAGAGCAGTGGCCGCATGTTTCTTGCTGGTGTGGTGAGTTGGGGAGATGGCTGCAGCCGCAGGAACAGGCCCGGCGTTTACACACGCGTCACAGAATACCGCAGCTGGATCAGGCAGATGACAGGGGTATAATGTCACAACAGTGACACGAAATGGACTAAAGCAAACAGTATCAACCTGTATTGAGAGAGTTATTGAAAATAATTAAGGCATTCATGTTCATTGAGTTTTATTTCAGAAGCCACAAAGATTCCTATAATCAGGCCAAATGTCCATTCAATTTTTTGACTTTCATTTTACATGAATATAATAATGAGCTTTCATAGTTTCTTCATTTATTTCTCTATGTATTTACTCTCTTAAAAGAGTTTTGTCTATGTGCTAAGTAATAGGAAATCATTTTATTGTTTTCATTTATTCTGGGCAGTTAAGGTCCAGCTTGAATATTTTTTTAATTTTAAATGTATGCTGATAAAATTATATAATTTCTAAACTTTGTATGTTAGTTGCAGACTAAGTATATTTACTGTGTGTGTGTGTGTGTGACAGTTTGTGTTCTTACTCCTTAGATTTATTATAACATCCATTGAAATGTTTTAATATGAAAATGTCAGCATTTTTATGTTTTGTTCAAACAATTGGCAATTTGTTCGATTTTATTTTTGCAATTTTGTTTACATAATTTTTGTTTTACTGTTATGTGTATCTGTGATTTAGTTAAAATGTTATATTTTTATTTTTGTTAATGCCCTCCTTGGGGGATTGGCGTTCCCATAATGTGCCTTGATATGGTAAATTCTTTGATAAACATTAAAAGGGAAATCCTAATCTGCTTTGTATTTGCTTATTTTTCATGTTGAGAGTTCAGGGCTTGATGCTACATTTTAACAAAGTTATGACAAATATTACAGTTGCATCAAATACATTTTAAATATAACAAATTTAACATGTTAATAGGTTAACACAAAAATGAAAATGTCTAAAGATCAGTGAATAATTTTAATTATCTAAAGTATCTTATTCTTGTTTGTATATTGTACAATGATATCGATGTAATGCCTTATTTCTGTCCATTTCTATTAACTGTAATGTAAGGCTTGCAATTATCATATTTGCATTTGTGAATTTAAAATTGGAAAATAAATAACTAAACTTGCATTTTCGTATGGAGGATGAAACCATATTATAAAATAAAAAAGCTATTATAAAATATGATGATTTTGAATTTTTAAAGGCGAAAAAATTGGGATGAAAACGTGTGATGTGTGAAGCTGCATCTTTGCCGCTAAGTGTAGTGCAACAAATGAAAAATAGAAATATTTGAATTTCTTTAACGTTTTCGTATTTCCTCAACTATTCATTCATTCACTTAATTATATATTTATTTATGCACGAATATATGGATTTGTCTTTATTCGTTCATTTGTGTGTTTTTATTTAATTGTTCAATCTGTACACAGTAGTAGTAGCAATATTTTTGAGAAATCATTCTTTTACAGAATGAACGAAAGTTCAGATGACAGACCGGAAATGTGCACCAATGTTATTATTCCCAGCGCCGTTGTGAGGAGCTAGCTAGCATATTCATTCCTAATTTCCACCAACATCCATGGTAAAAGTCTTTAAATATTTTCTTGATATACATAAAACAGATAAACGAAAACGATACATTTGGTTAATTTCATCAGAATAGATGTAAAGGCTGAACGGGACTGTTAGCTCGTTGTATTAGCTAGTAGCAGAATTAGCAACACATCAAAGATAGTTATTACATGTGTCTTTTGTCATAAAAAACATACGTACAAGTTGTCAATACAGTTGTCGCGGGAAATAATACGCTGTTTCATAGTTTTTTTTCTATTTTATATTCATCTGGTGTGTTGTTCTTAAAATGTAGTACGCAAGCGAATATGCTCAAGTATCTTGACAGTTTGCATGTTGATTTTGTTGTCATTTATTTCATTATCACAAATGGTATATTAAATACAATTGTGTGAAAGGCAGCAATTGAATAATGATATATTTTAAAAGGCGAGTTAATTACTAAAATAATCCTAAAGTCATACAAAATACTGCTTTTCATATGTCTTTAGACCTGTTTCCTTCTCAGTTGATAATATGTAATTTTGTAAACGCACAGATACCGTTTTTGCTGCTGTGAAGGGTTAGGTAAAGATGGATGCATTGGATCACATGTTAACAGACCCACTGGAGTCTGGAATGGACCAGGATGGACGTGTGATGGAAGAGTGCATGTTGGGAAACCGTAGAGTTCGGGTTCCTGAAGATTTGCTGGAGGACGTGAGTTATTAGCCTTCTTATTTATTATTTTATGAAAACATGAGCATAAAAACTAAACCATCAATTTATCTTGTGTACAATTTGTGTCTTTGCGTAAGAGCAGCCAGAGATATTCTTCTCAGTGATGAGTGAGAGCACATGGACAGATGTGCTCACAGATGCTCAACGGACACATCTACGTCAACTCCTGCCTCAGTTCTCTGATAATAACGTCTCAGAACAGAACAGCATGATCAGCGACCTTTTTAACAACCAGAATTTCTTCTTCGGAAACCCCTTGCACATTGCCCAGAAGCTGTTCAGAGGTTACTCTCTTTTCCTTTTATTTTCAACCCTTGTATTTTAAAATACAACTTTAACTTCACTAAAATACAATCCAGAATACAATTTCATGCATATTAGTTTGTTCATCTTTCCTTAGATGGTTACTTTAACCCAGAGGTGGTCAAGTACAGACTACTTTGTGCTAAATCGCAGAAAAAAAGGCACATCTACTCCCTTCAACAGTACTACCACAAATTACTCAAGCAGATCCTGGTTTCTAGAAAGGTACAAAGAAATCACAGACTTCACAGAAAAGCTCATTCAGTTTCTGTAACATGGTCAGTGTTTATCTTTCCATATACACTGCTGTTTAAAAGTTTGAAGTCAGTAAGATTTTTTCTGTTTTGAAAAAATGTAATACGTCTGTTCAGCAAGGATGCATTAAATTGATCAAAAATGATTAATGAACGTTTCAAAACATTTCTATGAAAGTTAAATACTAGTTAAATACTGTTCTTTTAAATCTATTCATCAAAGAATCCTGAAACAATGTATCATGATATCCTCAAAAATATTAAGCATCACAACTGTTTTCAACATTGAAAATATTAAGAAATGCACATTAGAATGATTTCTGAAGGATCATGTGACACTGAAGACTGGAGTAATGGCTGCTGGAAATTCAGCTTTGTCATGAATTGCATTTTACAATATATTAAATAGAAAACAGTTATTTTAGATTACAATAAATATTTAGATTTAGATTACAATATTTCACAATATTACTTTTTTACCATGTTTTGATCAAATTAATGCAGTCTGGTTTTCAAAAACTTCAAAAATCGTACCTACCACAGACATTGGAAATATAATCGAGTAGCTGGTGTAACTCTATGTAATCTACTATTGAATGCATGTGGTTTCTCTTGTAATGCAGGAGTTGCTGGATTTGGCGGTCCGCAGTGGACCTGAGCTTGCGGTAAAACGGCGGTACCCTGCACCCTCTCATAAAGAGATGCTGGAGCAGAGGGTGAGATGTCGAGTGGGTCACATACTGAAGGATGTGAAAACAGAGTGTGGGGACAGTAATGTGTCATCTGATGAAGATGGTGAGTGTGATGCAGTGTGAAAACATCTTTTTCAGCACAATTATTCTTTATTGTAATGATGATTGATATGATGATCATGTGTTCATGCAGATCAAGCAGATACAGCCTCTTGGTTGCCTGTTCCTCAGTCACCTTCCTCCCCAACTCCAACTGTCTCTCTCAGGGTGCTACCCAGCCTTTCTACTCAGGACATGAAAACCAGAGGTGAGTTAAAGCTATAGCTTTAACGCTATATGAAGTTATAAGAAGCTAAATATGATTTTCCATGTAGACAAGCCTGAGCTGGGTGAGAAGGAGCTAAGAGCCATGCTGCACAGACACAGAGAGAAAAGAAAACGACAGCCAGTAAGTTGCCTAAAGGGGTCACTGTTTTATTACTGTATTCTTTATATTCATTTTTCCACTTGATGTCAGTTATAAAGTTTTGTCATTTTTAGTT